TTCATTGTCAACCCTCTGAGCTGAAGGACCGTTCATCTGTGCAATGTTGTAGATTATGTCTTCAACTTTTTAGTTTAATTCTATGCTACCAGAAATAGAAATGACGTGGCGGCGTGAATCGAGAGTGAATTCTGCACCGGGAAACTTCTCTTGGAAACCTGAACTGGCACTGTCCTATTGTGATCGCGTTTACGAGCCTTCACTTCATCAACCCTCTGCAAAAATCTTATAGCAACATCTACCTTACTCTTCTGCAAATATATTTGAATCCTCAAAAGACAACAAAAAACTTCGAAAAGTGAATCACTAATCTGGTTTCAACTCCAAATTCTGGTCTTCCAAGGATTGGTGCAGTGGTTTTAGCCAAAACCAAAGCAAGTCGTTTATCTCGGAAAATTGCAGAAATAGAGGGTGCAGAAGATGTCCGAATCAGTCCCAGCAGTACTGACAGTGGGAGGAGTGATGGTGATGCAGATGATCTTAATGAGGAAGCAGGTTCTACGATTATGTTGGATGAGGTACTTGATCTGTTGAGCCGACGATGGGACAGAATCAATGGAGCTCAGGCGATCAAACTATTACCAAGGGATACTAAGTTACAGAACTTGCTTCCATTCCTTGGACCCCTTCCGAGAAAATCCAGTGAAGCATTTAGCGACAGTATGTGCTCCCTTTGCAACAAGAAGATAGGGACTAGTGTTTTTGCAGTCTACCCCAATGGTACGACTCTTGTGCACTTCGTTTGCTTTAAAGATTCACAGAGCACGAAGGCTGTTGCTAAAGTGGAAGAGGCTTCTCCTCTTTATGATATTGACGATATCCCAGTCCCTTCGAAGACCGCTGCAAGGGTTAGGATGAGAAGGCCTCGCCAAGGTGGAGCTACGGATGTTGATCCTTCTGGCCTTTCTCCTTCCCTGCCAAGCTCTTCCTTGGTTAGACAGACTGTCAATCCTACAGAAGAGGAGCACCGCGAGGATGGACACTACGAGGAGGAGCAACGCGAGGAGTAAGTTGTTAGGTTGCCTCGAGTTTTTCTTTCACTTCTGCTTTAGTAGTTCTTTTGTAATGAAACTTGGAAGTTAATGAAGTATCTTCAAGTTTTGCTTTAGCGCTCGGTTGGATAAGCTATGATACAAACCGAGCTCCCTTTTGTAATGAAGTACCTTCTAAATTTGCCAAGTGTTGAATTTGCAACTTGTACTTTCTTATTTATCTTGGAGTTCGGTCGGGTGGACCTCTTTTTTTGTAAGGCCGAACTCTTTTTAGTAATTTAAGTTTCACTTCAATGCACTCGTTCTTTTATTTTCGCAAGTGTTGAACCGCTTATCTTCAATTTTTGCTTATATGTCATGTTTGCCCCCGGCCGAGCAGAGGCTCTATGGCCTAGCAGGCTGTCTGTTTTCAATGCACTCGTTCTTTTATTTTCGCAAGTGTTGAACTGCTTATCTTCAATTTTTGCTCATATGTCATGTTTGCCCCCGGCCGAGCAGAGGCTCTGTGGCCAAGCAGGCTGTCTGTTCGGTCTGACCAGGCTTCGTGCCTTAGAAAAAATTGAGTAAGTTTGTTGATGCCCCCAGCCGAGCATGAGCTCGGTGGCTCGGAAGGTTGTCTGTTCGGTCAGACCATGCTTTATACCTTCGTAGAGAAAAAATTGTGAAAGTTTTTTATCATGTTGGTCGGCCGCCACCTGACTTGGGCAAGTTTTGGCGGGATTTAACCCTTCGTAGAGTGTAATTCTGCCCGTCTTCGAGCGTGAATTGTGAATTTGGACCGTGCTTTAAGTAACGATACTTGGCACAAATTCCACCAAGTTATACCACTTGGCACCCCGCTCCAACCAAAGGGTTGAGCATCCGGGATTGGCTTGAGTTAAGACCCGTGGCCAATTTGCTCCACCGAGCATAAATGTACAACACAAGTAAATAAGGACAAACCGTAAAATAAATTTCCATTCATTGATACTTGCAACTTTTGATTACATCAAGGCATGTTCTGAGAAATACATTACTGTAAGTACTTCATCCTAAGAATCGTTATTTATCAGAGAAATAGATTATAGCTGGAGGACCAAACCAGCGTATAAACTAAAGTTACGAACATAAAATGAAGAATTTAAGTTGAATTGTGTAGTACCTCCGAAAGCAAAGTGTACAATTGGGAACTTAAAACCCTAACATTTTAAAATTTTTATTTCAATTCTAAGATTGGCATGGTAACTTTAACAATTCTCTTATTCTCAATTTTACTACTTTATTGGATTGAAAATTTAGAAGTCAAATGATCTCTAACAATCTCTCTTTACGGTATCGCCATCGCAAAAAATTGTAAAACTAATTTCTCTCCAACTCTCTAATAAAATAATATTTAAATAAAATAAAGAAAGAATATGGAGCATTATTAGAGAGTAGTTGAAAAACTGACTCCCTAAAATAGGGAATCTCTTTCAAGTAAAATTTGAAGGGAGAAAAAAACAAAATCAGAGTTATGATCTTTTCACGTGTGTTTTGTTTTTTTTTTTTCATGGTAACCAAACATAGCCTGAGTAACAGATCGGTGATCCATGAATCATTTGATCTTCTCCCTCAGTAAAGATTAAGGATTCACTTTCATTTTTGTCCCAGGAAAAAAAACTTGTCCGGACAGAGATATCAACAGTTTCCTCCACTCATTTCTCCATCTTATTAATCCAAGTTATCTTCTGCTTCTGGTTATGGAAAACGGTGGTGCTACATGCAGCAATTAGTATATTAACTAGTGTATCAACACTAGTTATGACATTATTATTGACTATACTTAGTAATCACATTACAAATATTAAAAATCTCTTAAATTATATCACATCATCAATTAATATACTAGTTAGAACACTAACTAATATATATAACATTATTTATTAAGAAAATATAACTACTTCTACTAATATTGAGAGTTGTAAAATCTTAAATGCTTTCTAATTTAAATAATTATTTTTTATACTAAGACCAAAACACTTTTATTGTTTTTCCTTCCATTTTAACTTTTTATTTCTTTTTTTGGAATAAATTAATTTTAATTTTTTTAATTTTTTTCAATATTTAGTTTTATTAAATTAATTTCTACTTTTTAAAAATAAAATCTGAAAATTCAACCAAACAAAGGCTCTGTTTGGGAACCTGAGATTTAGGCTATTATAGCCTCAATTCAAATTTCAGCCAAAAAGCGTGAACAGTTCACGCGTGGTACAGCTACGTTAGAAATCGGGGGTGGAATTACCATTTTGGCCTTTGACTATTTCAAAGGGCGTGGGTTATACACGCAGCTGAAACCCAAGTGCCCTGTTCTCATCTCTTTCGTTCCGTCTCTCACACCGACTGTAGCAACACCAGTGCGCGATTGATCTCTCTCCGGCGGACCTATCTCTGGCGGACCTCTGCCTTCCATAGAACACGACGGACGAAGAACAACGACAGGTAAATCACGTGAACCGATTATACATGTGTTTGTTACCTTTGTCGACTCGGTTTGAAACTTTTTCCATTCCGATCTACGACATCTTCCTCTGTTTTGGCCCATAGTGATGGTATTCGGTTCGTATTTATGCCGATCTGGTGATGATCCGTCTTTCTCCAAATATAAATCGCCGACAACATTTTTTTTTTTCTCGCCTTAGTTAAATGCCTTCCACAGAACCGCAAAGATTTTTTTCTGAACATTTTTTTTGTGTTGAGCTACCCAGGTTTTTTCCCCCATGATTTCCGTAATTACCATTCACGGTTGGAGTGATGTAATCGTTGCTTAGGTTTGGAATTTTTTATTATTTTTTTTGTTTCAAAACAATTTTTTCCATAATTATCATTCACAATCCAGTTTTTCCTATTTTTTCCCCTGTTTTTCCCATCCGAATGATGTAATCCCCTTTGATTTCCATTATTATCATTCACAATCCACTGTGTTTTTCCCATTTTTTTTCTGTCCATCTGTGTTTGTGCATCATATATGAGATGGACCAAAATTTTTAATAATTTTCTGTCAATCTGTGTTTATAAACTGGCCATTTTTAATAAATTTTAAATTTTAAAAGAATTATAAATTATATTAATGAGTCAGGTTTAATAAATAACTGAAAGTTTGTTCATATATATAATTAATTATGTATAAATTTTACATATATATTTATTTGATCTGTACATGTTAAAAATTACGCTTCAATTAAAATAACTGACAATTCTTTTTATTTTTTTGTTACCCATATTTGTTTTTTTTTTTTTTTCTCAATTAAAAGTAACAATCCTTTTTTTTTTTCAATTAATGACAATGGGTACAGGTAGGTGTTAATTTATTTGGTCAATTAACTTTCACAATTTGATTTACAACTCGACTTTGACAAAACAACCATCCCGATGTGCAGTCCGTACGTCACGTGAGGGATTCACTGAGCTGCTGCCAACGGCGGGAACATTGGTTATGTAGGGGCAATTTGGTAATTTAATAACAAAACATCATATCAAACCCTCTCTCCAATACAATCATTTAAAAATATTCTCATTCATCTTTCCAAACACAAAAATTAAAATAACCTATTAAAATAGTCAAATAATCAAAAAGCCTACTAAAATAGTCACTTCCCAAACAAGGCCATAATGTTGATTATGACAAAAATTGGTTATAATCTAAAAATCATTTGAATTATAACTCAATTTTTTTTTTTATAAAAATTATGACTCACAAAGTATTCAGCTATGGTATTTATGATAATTAAATTATTATTTGCATATGATACATCTATAGTATTTTCTAAAAATGAAAAAATAAAAAAAAATTATAAATGATCAGCTCAATCTCTTTATTATTTTATATATTTTTCTATAAAATAAAAAAAATCCCAAATGCCCTTCAAAAACACCAACAGAGTTATTAATTAAACAAAATTAATGAGATAAAATTTAAAATTAAAAGTAAAATCCAAATAGAAATCAAAACCACATGAGGGCAAAAATGTAGGATTCGGTGTAATATGCCTTTTCGGTAGAATAATTGAGACTGTGTTTTCGGGGGGAGAGAGAGAGAGAGAGAGAGAGGGGTCAAAGTGAAGAAAGTCCGTCACTATGGTCTTCTGAATTAGCTGACGGAAGGAAGAGGCGGACGCGGAGGAGGAGGAAGGAACGAAACCGCAGCATGGGAGGGCGGAGGGGGACGATGGAGTGGGCGGCGAGAGCAAACCACATGGGAGGGATTCCCCGGAAGATGACGTTCTTGGCAGTGGGAGCGTTCGCCAAAGTGGTGGCGAATATTCTAAACACAACAACTGTTCACAATGCCGATACCCTAATCCATCTTCTCCGATCCCGACCTCCCGGCGTTCCCCTCCTCACCCTCAGCAATCACATGTCCACGTCAGTCAGTTAGTTTCCTCTCATCCTCATCCTCTTCTTTCTACCATATTCCTCTCATTCATGCTTACATATACTTTGATAGTGTTGTTTCTATGTTTAATTTTTTACGTTAAATTAGGAAAGAATTTGCTGCTGTTGATTTTCAGAATTTGTTTTCTGAACTTAAAAAATAAAAAATAAAAAAAAATTAGAAACTAATTTGACCCAAAAAAGAAGAAGAAGGGATCATATGAAAAAAATGAGTATTTTTTTAATTTTTGTTTTCCACTGTTTTACCAAATTAATTTTTGAAATTTGTTCAAAAAAACAAATTTTAAAAACTCAACCAAACTGAGCCGAAATGGTTCAATTTTGATCTCCATTGAATGCAACTTATGATCTGGGTTTTGACACAATAAAATGTTATGGATGGCAAAATGCTGTTCGCAAAACATAAATGAAATGCTGCTTATTGATTGTGATTTCCCTATTCGCTGTGTTTGGACATTGAGTTGGATATTGCTTTTACTCTTTTTTTTTTTTAATTTTTACAAAGAGCTATCATCTAAATCACTGGAACCAGAAATACATGAAATCAATTATTGAAACTCTCTCCTATTCATTGCACTATCAACTAAAACGAACAGGCTCATTCTGATGATGACATTAATAACACAAATCATTTATTTTAAATCATGCTAATCTCTGATTTAGAAGTTGTTGGAACAATTTTTTGTGTAAAAAATTGAAATAAACAAAATAATTTAATTACAGAAAGTTTTTGTTTCAGAAAATAAAAATAGTAAGGTTATGATCAAGTCGAGTGTGTGACATTCTTTCCTTAAGACAGATTTGCCGCTGCACATGTGCTTACGTATTAATGGCGTCTATCTCCCAGGATACAATAATCGAAAATCACAGATTGTAGTTGTACTACAAACAATCAACCAATCCTGAGTTTTGCAACTCTATGAACTAATATGAAGAAAAATGTAGCACAGAAGGAAAACTAAAAAAGGAAAAAAAATGGAATGAAATGAATCTGCTGGAGGGTCCTGAATTTATAGGCCAAGCGGTGTCTGTTTGGAAGGACAGAAAACCCTTCGAACAGGTGTGAAACCTAGAACCGCCGAAAATTGAAGAGAGGCGACTGGAGAGGCACTGTTCCGAGAAGAAAAAATTAAATTAATCCGTTAGGATTTCATCATCTTTTTTTTTTGCGCAAGAATTTGGAAAAAAAAATCAAATGGATTTTATCCAAAAAATTAATCTAGGACCCGACCCGACCCGACCCGACCCATAACCGGCTAGACGGTGGCGACAGCACGCGCGTATGGTGGATTTGGGTCAAGCCCACTTTGTCCATAACTCCCCTCCTTACAACACTTGGGGTGCCCCTTGAGGCTCAACCCAAGTATATAAACCTAAAGCTTATATACTCATATAGGCTCTCTTATTGTTTTCACCTGCGACACTCAAAACTAGGTAACCCACATTTGACTCTTCAATTTCCCATTTCATGAAACTGAAAACGATATCAACTTCATATATAAAATTATGTATTTCATGTGTGTCCTCCTCGTGTCGTGTCCTGTATTTTTTGAAAATTAACGTGTCGGCGTGTCCGTGTCGTACTCGTGTCGTGTCACGTGTCCGTGTCCGTGCTTCTTAGGTGCAAGAATTTGAAAAAAAAAATCAAATGGATTTTATCAAAAAAATTAATCTAGGACCCGACCCGACCCGACCCGACCCATAACCGGCTAGACGGTGGCGACAGCACGCACGTATGGTGGATTTGGGTCAAGCCCACTGTGTCCATAACTCCCCTCCTTACAAAACTTTGGGTGCCCCTTAAGGCTCAACCCAAGTATATAAACCTAAAGCTTATATACTCATATAGCCTCTCTTATTGTTTTCACCTGCGACATCCAAAACTAGGTAACCCACATTTGACTCTTCAATTTCCCATTTCATGAAACTGAAAACGATATCAACTTCTCAGTCACTCATAAATAGTTTTGACGATCCTTCTTCACCGTGTGACTTGCCATGCGGTAAGGAACACGTTACCACTTGGACCCACCTGAAGAGACGTGTGGGCCCCAGTTAAATTTGGGCTCAAAGATGGCTCAAAATAAGGTTATAAAACCAAAAATTTCCAACAAGAAGTTATTGGGATTCACTTCTCAGTCAATTATTGTGATACCTTTTTACTAGTTCCTCACAATTTTTTATAATGTTATTATAAGTTGATGAATCTTCATGAGGGGCCAATAAAATTTGATTTGATTTTTATTTGTTTATTTATTTTGTGCAGTTTGGATGACCCTGTAATGTGGGGATTCAAGGGTTTCCCCATAATGGATGCAAAAATGGCACGATGGGTGCTCGCTGCAGAAGACATATGCTTCAAGAATAGGGTGCTGTCCTATTTTTTCCGGCTTGGTATGTAATCTCTTGCTAATTATGGCCATTATCTAATATTTATTTTCCTTTTGTACCTTTTTTTTTTTTGAGAGCTATGTTCCTTCCGTACTTTTTATCCCCAACTAGTAACTTTAAAACTTTTCTCGAATTGTGAATAATTGTTTATGTCATTAACTTCTGAACTGATCCTGAAAATTTCAATTGCTTTGTATAATAAATAAAAGTTCATTGTGGAGTCTTTTGGTACATTTAGTCATTGTTTGATGTGAAGGGAAATTATTGAATGGAAGTTCTATGTACATACTTTTGGGTGACAAAGTTCACTGTTATTTGTTCTGTTTTGCGAATTCAATTATTTTTGTGATTTAAGTCATATAACCTTGTATTATTTTGCGACCAACATTCTGTTTTTTCCTTTCTACCCATGAAACGTCACTCCATCTAAAGCAGGCCTTAACAAATGCAAATTTTTTATAGTATAGAACACTTTGCTTCATTAGAAATCGAGGATATTGAAAAGGGATATTGATTAACGATGTAAGATAAAGGGTATGTTGATATTGCCCCTTGTGTTTAGTGTAAGCAATAGATGGCTTATTTATAGCTATTCTGATTATCTAAATAGCCAACGCTACATGCCAAGAGTCATGGTGCCATGTCATCTCTAACTTAGACTATGAAGTACGAATATAGGTATGGATGCTAGTGTGAGCATGATGATAAGGCAAAACTTTAAAAAATAAGATAAAGAGTACATTAGGGGAATGCCCATAAATAATGTATTTTTATAATTTGTAGCAGTGCATGATACATAAAATTAGAAAATACAATGCAAAAATTAGTTGAAGCAATGTACAAACTAGAATTAATGTCAAAATTTATTAAGGATTCAACCTACAAACAGGAGTCCAATGGAAAAAGAAAGGTTGGTTTAGTTGGTTTAATGCCATTGCACTAGAGAAGCTAAAAATTAAAGAAATTTACAAATTTGTTGAGATTCAATTGGATTGTGATAAGAGAACTCTAAATTTTCTATGATTTGGATGTATTCTTTATTTGTTTTCTTTGAAGATAGATGCAATATATATGTATTATGGTACATTTGTGTACCCAACAATATAAAAAAAACAAAAACCAAAACCAAAAATGGATATGTATTTTGCGTACCCAATATGCATGTAGTTGTACCGAGTGTGCATGGTCGTACCCGTACCCATACCAAATATGTACCTAGTGCGAGTACTACGTCTCTTTTGGAGTATAGAACTTGGATAATGCATCTCAAAGTGGCAAGTCATCTTGGTGCAATGGCATCTCCTAGACGAACCATTGGGGTTATGAGCTTACTCTAAGCGATGGCATATGATCGACAAGTATGATTGTCTACTTAGTTAATGCGCTCAACACATTAACTCCAAGCCATTGCACCACGAGATGAGCCAAAATAGAGGGCACCTTGAAGCATGGCCCAAGCTTAGCTTGGTTGGGCCGAGGCACCTCCACTCATTCAGCCTTACTTAGTTGTAGTATGGCTGGGTGTCATACACTGGCAATGCGGAAGCCTTGACAAAGATATGCAAGTGTGTGTGGCGCTAGTTAACTCTCTTCACTATCCTGCAAATAAAGCTCAAAAGGCTTGCAAAGACAAGCAAACACAATATTAGTTAAGTTGATAAGCCACAAGATTGGAGACAAGCCACAAAATAGCAAGCCACAAGCTAAAATTAAAGTAAGTAACAATTAAAAAGCTTTGCACAATTTAAAGGGGAAATGAACTTTTCATTAATAAAAGAAGGCATTACAATAGTTGAACAATGCGCCAAAAGTGCTACAAAAGTTGCCTTACCAATGGTTAGGTTGGAGTACTTTAAAGGCACAAGTGGTTTGGTTCAACACTTGGGTACCCCCTCTTTAATATAGCTTGTTAAGCCATTTCCTAGTTGGCAAGAGGAAACATCCATATGTTTGAGGCGTCATAATGAATTTTTAAAAATTCTACAAAAAGAGAAAAATTACAATACTTGGACCCAAAACACCTTTAATACTAAGGTACTTACATAAAAATTTACAAGGCAAAAAGACTACATTTGACACTCCAAAAGTTGGCCTAAAGTTGCTGCTAGGTAGGCAAGTCTTTGGCCTACTGTGGGTTGGACTACTTCATGGCGTGCCTTGGGTTGTCTTGCACCATGCCTTGGGCCTTGGCTTGCACTTGCACTTGCACCAACAACTTCCTGGACATATTTTTGGCTCTCCAAAGGACACAAATGAGTGAGGCATCAAGGTGTTGACCCTTGGATGGGCGCACTTTGACAGTCTCCCCCACTTGAACGGTTGACGCCCTCGACAACTTTGCCAATAAGCATCAATCTTGTCTTGAAAAGTTGACAAGTTTGCCTCCCGTTCCCAGCTGATTTCTTCATCTCCAAGGCCTTTCCATTTCACCAAGTATTGCCTTGTTTCTTTTTGGAAACCATTTTCATCCAATCGGCTAAGATAGATTGAACAGACCTTTATCCTGCTTTGGCTGTGATGGTTTGGCGTTTCAGCTTATTTCGGGTTGTATGTTCCTTATCTGGATAGTAAGGCTTTAAATAACTCACATGGAAAACCAGATGCACTTTCAGCCAAGATGGAGCATCTATCTTCTAAGCACACTTGCCAATTCTCTTCAGAATGGTTGCCGGTTTCTCATACTTACGCACTAGCCTTTTGTCTCTTCCTCTCATGAACTTGCGTTGCTCGGGGTTGAGTTTGACAAGAACTTGATCCCCAACTCTAAACTCAAGTAGCCTCCTCTTTTCATCAGCCCATTTCTTCATTTTACTTTCTGCTTTTTCAAGATAGGCACGGGTAATGTCATGGTTTCTTTTCCATTCCTTAGCAAATTGGTAAGTCCTGGGTGACTTTCCTTCATATGGTTCATCCACTATGTGGGGCAATAGTGGTTGCTGTCCATTCACTATCTTAAAAGCACTCTTGCCCGTAGAGCTACTTTTTTGAGAGTTGAAGCATAACTGTGCTACATCAAGAAGTTGAACCCAATTTCGTTGATTAGCATTGACAAAGTGGTGCAAATACTCCTCGAGCATATAGTTGAAGCGTTCAGTTTGCCCATCCGTCTCTGGATGGTAGCTTGATGAAGTATTAAGTTGTGACCCAAGAAGCTTGAATAACTCCGTCCAAAAGTTGCCAACGAAACGCAAATCCCGGTCACTAACAATACTTTTAGACACACTCCAATATTTAACAATGTGTTTGAAGAAGAGTTGGGCAGTCTCCTCCGCTGAAACATACTTTGGGGCAGTTACAAAGGTGGCATACTTGGAGAATCGGTCCACAATAGTCAAGATAGTCCCAATGTCTCCCACTTTAGGCAGTCAAGTGATGAAGTCAAGTGATGCACTTTCCCACGGACATTTTGGCACAGGCAAAGGTTCAAGCAAGCTTGCTTTCTTCTTATGCTCAACCTTGTCTTGCTGGCAAGTGAGACAAGTGCGGACATATTCTTATACATCATCATGCATTTGGGGCCAATAATATCGTTGTTTCACCAAGGCCAATGTTCGCTCCCAACCCGGATGTCCTGCCCAAAGTGTATCATGGCACTCCCTAGGAAGTGTCTTTCTCAAATCACCAGCCCTGGGTACAAAGATGCGGTTGCTTGCTGTCATTAGAAGTCCATCTTGCACCCAAAATTGGCGAGTCTTGCCCATTTTTACAAGGTTCATAAGATTCTCTGCCATAGCATCTTTGTCTAGATGAGCCTTGGTTTTCTCCTTGATGCTGGTTGAAATGGAAGTAAGTGAACATATATGATGGCACATAGCAAGCTCCGCCTTCCTATTTAGTGCATCAACAACATGGTTGGTGGCACCAACCTTGTATTCTAAGGCAAAATCAAACTCTGCCAGCTTCTCATGCCACTGTGCTTGTCGTGCGCTTAGCTTGGGCTGTGTTAAGAAATTTCTAACCGCTGTGTTGTCAGTTTTTACAACAACCGTGAGCCCAAGATGTAATGCCTCCAAGTCCTCAGACAATGCACTATTACAAGCAACTCTTTCTCATGAACTGGATATCTCCGCTCAACATCATTGAGCTTCCTACTCTCATAGGCAATTGGATGACTATCCTGCAAAAGAACACCACCCAAAGCAAAATCAGATGCATCAGTTTGTATCTCAAAAGCTTTACCCAAGTTAGGTAGAGCAAGAACAAGGTCTTTTGACATAGCTTCTTTCAAGGCTTGAAAGGCTTGTTGGCACTCTTCTGTCCAAACATATGGCTTGCCCTTCTTTAGCAACTCTGTCAATGGGGAAGCTAGTCTTGAGTAGCCTTCAACAAACTTGCAATAATAATTAGCTAACCCAAGAAATTACTGCAACTCCGAGACATTAGCGGGTGGCTGCCACTCTTGAATAGCCTTGACCTTCTCTTGGTCCATTTTGATACATCCATGCTCAACAATGTGCCCTAGGAACTTAATCCTCTCTTGGGCAAAAGAACACTTCTCTAGCTTGACCTAAAGCTTGTGCTCCCTTAACTTAGGCCATACTTTTTTGAGATGTTTCACGTGCTCTTCTAAAGTGGAGCTATAAATTATAATGTTGTCAAAGTATACTACCACGAATTGGTCTAAGTACTCTTGGAAATCTTCATTCATCATGGTGCAAAATGTTGCTAGGACATTGGTCAAGCCAAATGGCATGACTAAGAACTCATAGGAACTATAGCGAGTAACGCATGTGGTTTTAGGCTCGTTTCCCTCGGCAATTCTTACTTGATAGTACCCCGATCGAAGATCTAGCTTTGTAAAATACCTCGCTTTGCTCAATTCATCAAATGAATTTGCAATTAGAGGAAGGGGATACTTGTTCTTGATGGTCAGCTTGTTGAGTGCCCGATAATCCACACATAAGCGAAGACTACCATCATGCTTCTTTTGGAAAAAGACAGGTGCACCGAATGGGGCCTTAGATGGCCTAATGAAGTCTGCTTCCAACAAGCTTCCTTAACTCATTCAACTCAGGAATAGCCATTCTATATGGTGCACGAGCTGGTGGCTTAGCCCCTGGCACCAATTCGGTAGCATGATCCACACCTCAGTATGGAGGCAACTCTTTAGGCAACTATTCAGGCATAACATCTGTAAATTGCCTTGGGACTTTCTTGATTGCAGCTAGGACAGGAGTAGATTCGAGAGCTTCATTCAACTTCAATGCGGCAACCTAAGTTTGCTCATCATGCCTAACACCCCTCTCGAGTTGCATAGTTGAGACAAACCGGTCACTGTTGCTGGTGACCATAGCAAGAATGAGACATGGCTTATCCCCCATGACACACATACTATTAGAATAAGGCATGACTGCCGTTTTGTGTTTCTCAAGAAATCCAACCCAAGGATGGCTTGGAAGTCATCCATGGGTACTGCAGTGAAATCTACTCTTCCTTCCCAAGTGCTGACCTTCAAATGAACAAATTTTGCAACCCTATAGATAGGCTGCGCTGCCGAGTTAACTGCCTTGATGCGACTGCCATCCTTCTCTAAAGATAGCCCAAATCTTTTAACTTCGGTCCCCGCAACAAAATTGTGGGTGGACCTTGTGTCAATCAAAGCACGGAGGGGCTTCCCATTGAGTTTTACATCCACAAGCATCAAACCTTTGTTGGATCACTTACTCTTGTTCAACTTACCTGATGATTCCCCATCATGCATGGGTTTCTTCCCTTTGCCTTCATCTTTGAGCTCCACAAGTTGTTCAGGATCTGAATGTTTGCCCACTTTGCCACTCTTGGCATTCTTCTTAGGCCTTCCTGTAGAAGCCTTCTTCTCCATGGCATTCATCATATGAAAGTCTCCCACTCTAGAGCCAGTTGCCTTAGAACCCTTGCCACTTCGCCTAGACTGCATGTCTTCTTCCTTACTATAATCATCACTTGGTTGAGAGACATGGTCAGACACAGTTACTAGAGCATTCAAGGCACGCTTTTGTGGACATTCAGATAACCGGTGTGGCCTATTGCATAAAAAACAAGAGATAGGGCCTTTTGCTTTGCTTGTAGAGAATTGTTGAGGGGCTTTTGCCTTGTCACCATAGCTCTTCTTTGCCATTGTCCTCCACCCGAATGGGTTTTGGATGTAGAAGTGTTGGCTCCCCCACTATTAGGTTTGCCATAGCCTTGGGACTTTCCACCTCCCCTACTCTTGCGTGGGGAACTACTATCCCGCTGCTTAGGTTTGGCGTAGTCCGTAAGGCACTCAGCTGCTGCTTATGCCTGGGCTAAATCTTGTACTCTTTGCCTTTGAAGTTCAACTCTGGCCCATGGCTTTAATCCCTCAAGAAAGAAGAAGAGCTTGTCTTTCTCTGACATGTCTTTGATGTCTAACATAAGCCTAGAGAATTGTTTCACATAATCTCTTATAGTGCCGGTGTGCTTGAGATCCTGCAAAGCACACCGGGCATTATACTCCACATTTTTTGGAAAGAATTGGAGCTTAAGTTCATGCTTAAGTTGCTCTCAAGTCTCAATTGTGCATAAGCCGCGTTGCATCTCATCATGTTTAGTCCGCCACCACAGCTTGGCAGGCTAGGTGATGTAAAATTTTTAAAGTGTGGTTCAAAAGTGGACTATTGTGTAGGCAATGTGCTGGAAATTTAGTACAAAAGTCTTTTTGAGTTTTATAAGTGGTCAAAGTGCCTCAAAGTGCTTTTGAAAGGTTCATGTAGGATGTACAACTTTCTTAAGCCTCATCACAACCATCCCAAGCCTTTAATCAAAGAATTAAATAAAATAAAATTTAAAAAGTGCATATAACCAACTATACATAATGAGATTGTTAACTAGGATAGCCGACTGGGCAACATGACAACTTCTTGAACATAGAAATTGTAACAATTACCATCTTAAAAAGAAATAGAAAATGTAAATAACTATGAAGTTTTTTATATTTGGTGGAAGGTGAAACTCTGGCCCAGTGTCACACATTGGCAATGCGGAAGCCTTGTTGAAGATAAGCAAGTGTGTGTGGCGTTAGTTAACTCTCTTCACTAGCCCGCCAATAAAGCTCAAAAGGTTTACAAAGACAAGCAAACGTAATATTAGTTAAGTTGATGAGCCACAAAATAGCAAGCAACAAGCTAAAATTAAAGCAAGCAACAATTGAAAAGCTTTGCACAATTTAAAGGTGAAATGAACTTTTCATTGATCACAAGAAGGCATTACAATAGTTGAACAATGCACCAAAAGTGCTACAAAAGTTGCCTTACCAATGGCTAGGTTGGGGTACTTTAAAGGCACAAGTGGTTTGGTTTAACACTTGGGTACCCTCTCCTTAATATAGCTTGTTAAGCCATTTCTTAGTTGGCAAGAGGAAACATTCACTATGTTTGAGGAGTCATAATGGATTTTTAAAAATTCTACAAAAAGAGAAAAATTACAATACTTGGATCCAAAACACCTTTAATACTAAGGTATTTACATAAAAATTTACAAGGCAAAAAGACTACATTTGACACTTCAAAAGTTGTTGTTGGGCAGGCAAGTCTTTGGCCTGCTGCGACTTGCTGTGCCTTGGGCTGCTTCATGGCATGCCTTGGGCCGTCTTGCACCATGCCTTGGGCCTTGGCTTCTACTTGCACCAACAACTTCCTGGGCATGTTTTTGGCTCTCCAAAGGGCACAAATGAGTGTGGCATCAAGGTGTTGACCCTTGGATGGGCGCACCTTGACACTCGGCCAAGGGATCCTCTGTTGGGTCATGACTCTACTATATTTCATTCCCCATTCTTCAATGAACTTCTTCTTCATTAAATTTGTTTTAGTACAACCATGGTCAACTAGGCTGGAAGTAGGGCATCAGAGTCTCTACTGGGGATCATTAAAAGATATGTGGTTTGGAGGCTAGAAAGGGATTGTCAAGGCTCCTTGGGTCACCCTTTCAGTGTAGCTCCACCTTGACTAGTCTTAGAGAGAGAGACTTTGACCAAGACATGTGAAATCGCGAAGCACATATTATACCTTACACTGGAGCCCCTTCTTCATGCAACTCCTAAGGTATCGTACCTACTTCTATAGTTCCCTTGATATAGACCCCAAAGTTTCCTAGGACACAGAGATAATTGACATACCTTTATCTTGTTGAGGCAAATAGGATGAGTTGCTTGTGTGCTCAGAGGTGAGTTGGCTACCATGGTTTGGCCACCCTATATAAGGGACCTTCATGAATATGTTGGGGTTATAAATAGCCATCCTTAACCCTCACCTTCACTCTCCCTAAAAAGAGCAAAAAATTTCTCCTCTGCCATTTGTCGGGAATTTGGTTTGGAAGGCCTTCGGGTCTTTGGTAGAACTTTGTTCTGTGTGTTGCCTTTGGTCACTTGATGATCCTCTTTGGTGGATCCTTATTTGGTCTCTCCAAGTGAGATTTGTCTGTTAGTGTCTTTTGGTTGAAACTTATGGTTTCGTGAGACTTGAATTACAGAGGATGTTGAGTTTGGTAAGAGAACTTGTATTTGGATTGGTGAGCTTTGTGAGAGTTTCCTTTGTCACTGTTGTAGCTCTTCGGAATATTGTTCTCTTTCTTTAGTGAATCCTTTTCTTTGTGATTGTCCGTGGACATAAGCTTAGGTCGAACCACGTAAATCTTGGTATTGTGAGATTTGTTTCTTTCTCTTGAATTTGTATAATTTTTATGATTTTTCTAATTCATATTCTAAATCATCAACTATCTTGGTGTGGTTGAGTTTTCCCGAGACTCTCCGTGCAACAAATTTGTATCAGAGCCTCCGCTGCGCACAACAAAAGCCACCTAGCACCTCCACCTCCCTCTCCTGCCATCTCAATGCCCCTTGTATTCCCAGACCCAGACTCATCCGACCAACTCAGCACCCACCATCCACAGCTATTTATGTTCGCTTATGTTGTAATTGTTGATACTTCTGAAATGCATAGACACACGTGCATGCACACAAGGGCACACACACCATCATGAAGGGAGAGTTAACAAACTATGCCTCCATTTAAACTTATAATGCCCAGATGGTAAATATATTGCAATAGAAACTTGAAAGATTTCATGTAGTTGTCATATTTCATTGAGAATTGTCTGTTTTAACATTGGAAATGAGTGTGAATGAGCTGAGAATGTGATGATGACAATACCTGTTTCTTGGAGTCATCAGCATACATCGAATGTGACAATGTTATTGCTATATATTGCCATGAAAAAGTTGCAATAAGATATTCTGTCCCATGCCAGTAACTTAGTTGAATACCTCTTCTCTGCCTTCAGTTTGTATATATATATAATATTTTAAAAGGGCCATCATTTTTGGAAACAACTCTTGGAGTTTAAAAATTTATAAAATGTTGTACAAGGTCTCTACTCATTATGTTGAACCTAGTACAAGTTCATTGATCATCACTTTTGTTGTTGTTTTCCTTATGCTTGCAAAAATTATTATGGATTTTTAGGCTCATTTCTAAAAGAGAAAATTCGCAGGGAAATGCATACCTATAACAAGGGGTGGTGGAATTTATCAGGAACACATGAACGAAGCTCTTGATCGCTTAAGTGATGGAGAATGGGTATTTCCTCAATAGTTTTGGCTTTATACTTCAGTTGGCCTGCTTTTTATTATTATTATTACAAGATTCTGGGAAATCTCTGTTGTTGCACCCTTCTAAGTATGGTCAATTAGTATGTTGTCATAGGTGCAGGTATGTGATGGTTACTGGCTTTGGAAATTTTCTATACAGTACTCATATTGTTAATTGTCCATCGGATTTTCCTAGTCTTGATTTTGTTGATTTCTGGGCCAATATTGGCTGGATTGGATCCTCTTTTTGAAACATAGGCTAGGGTACTTGGCGTAGGGGGTGGCCTAATTCAATTGGCAGGTTGGCATGACTACGGATGGCATATTTATGGAAATTGCTTCTGCTTTAAGAATGTTGAAACAGAATTAGAGTTATTTTTTTTTCATTCTAGGATCATACCATTTATATTGCATGGCAATTAATGTGTTTTAGTCCTCGTAACTTCCTTTTGAATCTTGGATTAGGTGGAAGCTGAAGGTTATCATTTTAGAGTCTTTGGTTTCATTGCTTATGTTCATGTTCCATCTCAAAAGAGAATTTGTGGGCCACATTGTTGAAAGCTAAGGTTACAGATTTTATAATCCTCTCACTAAGGAGTCACTAATTAGTTGTGATGTTTGTCTTTGATTAAAGAAATGCTTGGAATTGGTGGTTATATTCAAACCAGTGTTATTAGAAAACACTAACACCCTAACAATTTACATTTTGGAATGCATGTTCCCAAACATGATAAACTTTTGTTTGAGAGCAATCCCAAAAAATTTCTAATATAAAACTTAAAATTTATCTTAGGAGGAAAACCAAATCAAATATAACAAATTTAAATCTAAGGAGAGTGGAGTTTTGGTATGACAGAACGTAAATAATGGGCAATAATGCTCACAAAAATGTGTTGTTACATGATTAATTTTAAAATGAAAAGCAACATTTTATTGGATGTCTAATTGTTTAAAGGTAATTGCTCTAGAAGTACCTTAAATTGTAATAGTGTAATCTAAACAAGTCTATTTCTATCGGACCGCATTTTAGAGAATGTGGCTTATTATGCTCCTGATCTTGTTTCAAGTATCAAAACATTTCAGGTAACATGGGTTCGGACACCTTTATCTTTGCCCTTGCTGTCTCCTTTTTTTTAAGTTTAATGTTTCAATTTAGTTTTAAGAGTTTGTTAGGGTTGCAAAAGGGTAAAATCACAAGGTTCTAGGCACTATGAACAATACCTACAAATGTAGCTAAGGAAAGGTGGCATGTTGACACGGACACTTGTCAAACGCCTCTTGACATGTGTGGGACACTCATCCAAATGTGTGTTTTTAATTATTATTTTTCAAATCCAGACATTTTTTGGTACACTTGGGGGACACACATGTCGATTGTTTTGATGGACATGAAACTAACTATAATCTTAATGTATAGGAATGATTAGATTGCATTTTTTTTATAATCTTTGAATGATATATTCGTATAAATAAATATATAACTATATACTTTGTGTGTGTCCTCCACATGTCCCTGTATTTTTTGAAAATTGTTGCATCAGCATGTCCATGTTTATGCTTCTTAAACATTAGCCTTCTAGTTTTCCATATCCACTTAAGTTGTCACATGTTAAATATAGCATGTATATCAAATAGTTTGTGATACTCACAAGGGAATCGGTGGCTAGCATTTTTGGTTTTCTTACAAAGATTTGTATTATGGGATTTTTTTTGAAGTATTTTAGAGACTGAAATCAATCTGATAATGGCTGCCATTTTCCTCATCTTGTCTAGATATTACACTTCTCTTTCTTCCTCTCCTGGTTCTCTACTTTTTTCCTGATTTGTCTAAACACTCAAACATCTTGTCTACCAAACTAATTTATTGGTCCCTGGTTTGTGGAAGCCTGCACTACAATCTCAATGAAGTCTTTCTTTTTATTTTGTTCATTTTCCTAACTTTCCTCTTCTGACTTGCCTTCTGTTCTTTCTATCTAATCTTACTTGGGCCTATGCTAGATTCTGCTGACCATTTACATACGTCTGGCACATATAAAGTTTGTCATGTTCTTGCAATTGTAGTTGGACTAAATTTCAGTACATAATTGCTTGGCCAGAGTAATTTTCTGCAGGACATCCTAAGCTGAAATTTTGATTTGTTCTTATTTTCTATTGGCTTGGTTATCATAACTTGCTTGAGTGATAATTTTAGATGATATAAACTTAATCTAAAGCATTCTTGGTGCATCTATTAACACAAGAACTGCAGTGAATGCAAGGTAGTGAAGTAAGTAATTGCATCTCCTAAAATCTTCTAGATCAGATGATCAGCTTTGAATCCCACTGTTGTCATAGATTTGTGCTGGTCTTTAACTTTTTCTTTGTGCTATAAATTGCTTGCATTTTTTCTGTGTATACAAAAACAGCACTTGAAGTTCTGATGAAATTCTTTTTTCTGAAATGAGCAGTTGCATACATTTCCAGAGGGAAAAGTGTCTCAACGAAATGAACCAATTAGAAGATTAAAGTGGGGGACTGCAAGTCTCATTGCTCGGGCTCCTGTAACCCCCATAGTTTTGCCCATTGTCCATCATGGTTTTCAAGAGGTAACACTCATTGTAATTTCATGAATGTGCCAGGTATTTCTTGAAGCAGTGTTAGCATTTGATCTCTTTTGAATGCTTGAGAGATAGCATTGTTAAAATTATTGGAGTTGTAGGTGGTGTTGTTGTCGGTTTTAAATGTTGGGTATTGCTATTCTTTTTCTTCTTCTTCCCCTTATGTGTACAAGACAAATTGGAATCAGGTACATTGGCCATTGATCTCTGCACTTCCCTCTGCATTTTGAACAACAATGTCATAGCATTGCTGGTCCTGTTCAAACAAGATGCGATCCTTTTACATTTTTTGTTATTCTTGCTCATAATATTTTTCCTTTTCAACTTCATTATTCTAGCCTGATGTACCGTTTTTGCTCTTTTGTTCTTTTCTTCAATCACATTGTAAGACATCATCATAGATCCATTTATACATCAGCATTGCATGGACATCGTTCCCCAAATTGGATTACTTAGAGCTGTTTGGGTTGTTTTCTTTTGTTGATAATATATATACAGCTTTTGTTTTCTTTTCACTTTGGGTATCTGTTACAATAAAATAAATATCATGTTCTACTACAAATTATGAAAATATATTTTGTGAACATACCTTCTTGGAGAATAAGGGGGCCCACAAGCGCACAGTAGTACTGGCCCAATCCATCGGGGAGAAACTCCAAAATCCACACAAGCCACACCAAGGCCCAACATACATTGTTTGGAACTCATACCCATTTAAAAGCTTAAGCCTATAAGTGAAGAGTCCGTCTAATATATATTAAGACCCATCTGTTTTATTCTTTATTCGATGTATGACTCTACGTTCACACATGCTCCAACAATATCCCGGCTGTACCTATATCCTTTTTTTTTTTTATTTATTCAGTTTTGCAATATCGGTGTACTGGTACCAGCATCCGTACCCATATCCATGCTTCATATGTTGATACAATTTAACTAGTACTTGCTGCTAATATTGGCCATTGTTGCTTACTTTCAAAGCCTTCTGTTGATATATAGAGCCTCATTTCATGTTAGTTGCTTTACAGCCCTTCTTAAAAAATCAAGTGACCAGTGAATATTTGAATGTCCCACAGGCTGGGGCTAGTTATTTCCAATTTGAAGACTTTTGACTGGGGATTGCAATGGGGTGGGTTGATTAGGTATTAATTCTGCCGAGTCATCTCACTGGTATACTATTAACCATAGGAGATTGAATTGGATGCTAACCTTCAACTTGCATTAAGGTTTGGATTAGGGTCTGTTTTCATTGCCTCAGTGCCCCCCCAGTCATAAATATGTACACATTTATACTTAGATACACAAGTCTCCTTTGTGTGTGAGTAGCAAATTGTTACCCTATTATCATAAGATTTTGTAGGATAATATTATTAAATGGTTGACAATTTATAAATGACCTATCTTAGGTCCCATATCAAATTGGAAAATGGGTGAGGAAGCAACTGTTTTTCTCTGATCTGATCTTTGTGGCCCTTTTATTTATTTTGGCTCTTCTAACTGTCACTCTCTTTCATTAATTTTCAGGTGATGCCCGAAGATTATTTATTTGGAAGAAGGGCCCCTTTGCCTTTATTTAATAAGAACATAAACATAATAGTTGGTGACCCGATAGAATTTGACCTTCCGAAATTGAGAGAGAATGCAGTGTCCATGTCTAAGGATTTGTGTTCTTCAAGTTCTGGATGGCCAAGCACTTTGGGACTGAATGAGGCGGCACAAAAATGTCTCTATAGCAGCATATCAAAGCAAATCTGGATGGTTATGGAGAACTTACGAAGTTTTGGTAAAATGTTTCTGAAATCGAAGGGTTGAAATTTGAAGCTCTTTGGCCCAGGAATGTCTGTTTTGAAGGATTGCCAGCAGCAAAGATAATGCCATTTAACCTTATTAAAATTTTGATAGCATTGAGAGTTTTAATTATATTTTTATTTTTTCCCTGTTGGGAAACAATAAAATGTTTTTTTCAATTAGAGTTTGTTTTGTATCTGATTTATTTATTGAAATTGCTCGAAATGGCGATTCTAATGTGGAAGGTTAAAATTCACAAAAGGGATACCATGTGAAGCTGGAATTACATTGCGCAATGCTTAACTTAAACATGATTTAAGGCCTTGTAGCGACCCGAATACCAAACTTTGTACGTCTTGCTGCGATTTTGACAGGCTTCACGGTAAGTGTTTTTACTTTGTTACGAGGTAAACTTTTTTTGCCATGTCTGATCCGATGAGTCTCCCATGTGATGTACTGTTGTTGATTATGCCGAGTTGTTAATCATGTCAATTGGTTATCTTGAGTTAGAAGTAGCAATTCAAAATTACAAGGGAAATATATATTGTAGGCTAGAGGATGAAATTTGTAAGCTTAAAGATGAATATTGTCTTGATAGAGATAAAAATGTACTGCCAATAACTTTTTACGGGAAGAGATTCAATAGCAGCATGATGATTTATGCCGCTTGAATGATATAATTCAGCGGCTTGAGGATGACATAGATCAGTATCTGCCAATTTCAGTGCCGTCGAAAATTCGGACTTTGTGGATATTTACAATTAGTCTTAGTGATCTACTTGCCCAACAGATCAGTATCCGTCAATTTCAGTGCCGTCGAAAATTCAGACTTTGTGGAAATTTACAATTAGGGGTTGTTTGAGGTGTTTTAAATAAGCGTATTTTTTGACTTTTTGGATTAAAAAGTTGAGGAAAAAAATATGGTTGTTTAGGATAACTTCTTGAATTTTTACGAAAAAATGTGAATTAAAAAATTATATAAATTAGTGTATAGGAGAAGCTTAGGCAGAGTAGGCAGTATGGTGGGCACAATAATGTATAGGAGAAGCTTGCCTCCTTTTCGGGCATTGAATTGGACGGTGTTGTTCAGCCCGTGGGGGCCATTACAAGTCTCGTTTTTCTAATTAGAACTGTGCAATGTGTAGAACTCGTTGAGTATTATATACTTGTAAAAAATCACATTAATCGAATATTGATAGCTATCTGATCGGATTAGTTTTTTTGTTAACCGTTAACTATAACACCATCTATTTTTTATACAAAATCGATTTAATCATGTAGTTAGCGATATCCAATCAATGTGATTTTTTATAGGCATATATAACTAGATGAGTTTTTACATTGAATGGTTTAGATTATCAAAACGGGACTCGTGATGGGCCCCCACAGGCCGAACTACATCGTCTTGTTTGCTTCTCAGCCTGTTCCCTTTGTACAAACGGTGAACAACTAAAGTTTAACTCACGTGACATGTGAGTTGTATTTTTTTTTATAAAATTAATTTTTTAATATTTTTTTTTGATGAATAATAATAACTTTTTAAATTTTTTAGTAACTTTTTTATTTTTTTAAGGTATGTCAAACCAGCCATTAGTCTTAGTGATCTACTTGCCCAACACATTTGAGCGAATGAATTGGCTCAGTGTTGGAACGATTATGCCCACATTGAGATTGTGAAGCACACTGAAAGTTAGTTTTATTCATTTGGTTTTTACAAAATAACAAAACAACTTCAAAGTGTGGCGTTTGGCTATGTGGGTTGAGTTGGGATTAAATTAGCTACTGAAAACAAAAAAAAAAAATTAAAAAATTAATAAGATAAATGTTATATTTAAATTATAATTATTTTATTTTTTTTCTCATAAAATTAAAAAAGCCAATTCAAATTAACTTTTTAATCTCAAGTTAAAAAAGTTTTTACTCTAAAAAATTAATTAATTATTTTTTTGTTGTACGACAACTGAAAGTGAATAAATTCGATATGAAGTGTTTTACCCAAAAAAAAAATGGAATCTCCGATGTTATTTGCCAATAGGTTGAAGGGGTTGTTGAATCAATAAAAATATATATATATTTTAGAATATTTGTAAACCTAGGGTGCAAATTTGGTCAAATTTCTTTCTTAAAACGGCGGCAGTGTTTTGACAACCTTAACGGGGCTAGAATGGAGCGAAAATGATTAGGTATTGCGTAGTGTTACGTGTCTATATTCTTTTATCAATAATTATTCATTATGTTATTTCGTATCTTTTAATTACTCAATACAAAATTATATTATTCTACATTCTTCATCAATTATAATACCACGCAACACTAGTGGTAGTGTTCAGAAGTGCCCAATAATCACCCAAAATAGAAAGGCTTTTACCTCCCTAGAGTCACAATAGTCTTTATTTATTTATTTGTGGGCACTCAGATCATAAATTTAGGCCTCTTTGACAACATTTAAAAAAGCAAATTTATTAATTTATTAGTTCATTTGAATCACATCATATTTCTATATTTCTGCAATCTTTTTATAATAAGTAAAAAAATCAATTTATAAATCATACTCAAAACAATCCTTAATTTTAAAATTTTTGAGACAATAGTTTTAAATTCTAATATTTTATGGGGAGAGAGGAAACATTCACCAAGTGAAACTAATGTTGTGTTTGCTTCATAGATTTAAAAAATAAAAGAAAAAACATGAATAAAATAAGAATAAAATATAACTACATGTCATTTACATTTCACACAGTTTTTTTTCGTTTTCATTTTAAATTCTTACTTAGATTCATGAATGTAACACACTCTAAGAAAATGTGGTGATGAGGAGATAAGGCCTGCAAATCTTGAAAATCTAAATAATAATTCTAAAAATACAAATGTGTTTTGTGAAACAAAAAGATGAGACAAATGTCTTGTTTGACAAAAGTTTTTTTTTTTTTTTTTTTTTTTGTTTGACAAAAGTTTTTTTTTTTTTTTTTGATTTTTGGATTAAAATTTACAAAAAAATCAAATAAGTTAAAATAATTAATAAGATAAAATCATCAAATCCATAATTATTTCATTTTTTTCTCACAAATATCATATCTAACTATTAAAAAATCTAACTTTCTTCTCCAACATAATTATTTTAACCTACTAAAATAATAAAAATTAAGAATTAAGGTAACCTATTACAATAGTCAACTCCTCAAAGGATGCCAAAAGTGATTATCACATTACGGGAAGCTTCTATATACACACACATAATCCCCTCTTTGCACATCCTTCTCAAAACACACACCAAAAAAATTAATTCCTAATTAATTTCCTCACTGCACACACGGTGAGTTCCAAATGTACCCTCATACACACACACACACACCTGACCCCAAATACACACACCTATTGAATCTGAAGCACATCTTCAACCTTGAAGCATTCCATCACCGCTGAAGCACCTATTGAAGCATTGATGCACATCTGCATACACATTGAAGCATTTCATCTCCTTACCGTGTGCAACCCAGGTGTGCAAATATATTGAAGCATTTTATCCACGAAGCTGCATCCCATTGAAGCATTCCATCAGATTTTCAATCCTCATTAGGTGAGTTTACTTTTGAATCATCATTCCCATTCAATCCTCATTTTCATCTGTAATGTAGAGTTTTTCAGTTGGAATGTAGAGTTTGTGATTTGGAACTGTCGTTCGGAACTGGTTATCCGAAACATAACAATTTATTCGGACGTAGGAATCCGAAAAAATTCAATATTTTCATCAGTAGATTTTCGAAAATTTTACATTCATTCGATAGTCAACTTCCGAAAAAATTGAATTTGGACAACAGTCAACCTCCGAAATTATGTTTTTGTTTCGGACAACAACTTCCGAACAGAATAGGTATTTTCGGTTGTGAACTTCCGAACAAATTTTTTTTTTCCCCTTCTTAATTAAAACACTTATTATAATTTAAAACACTTATTATTTACACACACACTCATTACACACACTCTCATTAATTTTACACACACTCTCATTATAATTTAAAACACTTATTATTTACACACACTCATTACACACACTCTGATTAATTTTACAAACACTCTCTCATTATAATTTAAAACACTTATTATTTACACACACACTCATTACACACACTCTTATTAATTTTACAAACACTTTCTCATTATAATTTAAAACACTTATTATTTACACACACACTCATTACACGCACTCTCATTAATTTTACACACACACTCATTACACACACACTTATAATTTAAAACACTCTCATTAATTTTACACACACTCTCTTTATTTACACACACTCTGTTTATTTACACACACACTTAGTATTTTTTGCAGATAATATGGATTCTGAATATCAACAACGTGTCCCACCTACTGCTTCAAATAGACGACGTCGTGAATTGGATGTAGACCATGAACGGGGACGAGGGCGTGGGCGAGGACGAGGTCAAGGTCGTGGTCGAGGTTGTGATCCAGTTTCAGTAGAATATGATATTCCCAGTGCCAATAAAAGTGGGGGCTGAAGCCAAAGACGAGTTGAAGGTTATGATATGCCTGACATTGCTGTGGAGGATACTTCTTTACCTGATTCTCCTCCTGTCCAGAAAGAGTACCTTACTCATGCTTTTCCAGGTGGACTGACTGATCCGTCAATACTGTGGAGTTTCAATAGTCATGTGGCTGCAGCTATTTGGCACGGGGAGGTAAACATTCCTCAGTAAAACTGAAATTCATTTGTATATGAGTTTTTTTTTTTTTGTGGCTTGAATGGTTGCGAAGTCAGTTTGCTGGTGTCACAGATTCAGACCCCGAGGAGGCTATACAGTGCGCTGCAAGAGCTTATTTATTGTTTCTGTTGGGATGTACACTCTTCAGTGACAAGAGTGGCGGCAGGGTTCCCGTTGTTTACCTCGGCTTGTTGATGGATTTGGGATCCATACATACTTATGCCTGGGGTGCTGCTGCATTAGCATTTTTATATCGACAGTTGGGGTTTGCTAGCCGGTCTGGGGTTAAGCAGATGGGTGGTTATATGACTCTTTTGGAGGCGTGGATTTATGAGCACTTCCGAGCATTCCGACCTCATCAGAACATGGGCTACACTGAAGACATGCCACATGTGTACCATTGGGCATCTAGGAGAGAGGCGGGTTCCTCCATTGACCATTTGAAATCTTTTCGAGCCGAGCTTGACAGTTTAGTAGCTACTGATGTAAGTTTACTCATCCTGCGATAATTTTAACACTTCCATTTATCTTACCCTTTATGTACTTTAATGCAAAAACACTTTATGTTTACAGGTTATTTGGGATCCATACCAC